TGTGTGTGTGTGTGTGTGTGTGTGTGTGTGTGTGTGTACGTTTTGTATAGACGACATTATTTATCGCCGTCTGTCTATCAATTTTTGATTTTGAATTATGTTTTGTTAGCCACCTTATGATGGTTGTCTAGATTTAGATCTCACATTGCTTAATTTCGGATTTCACAAATTCTTCACTTTCATTTCTGATTAATGTAAGGAATGAAATATTTTTTCTAAAGTGCCAACATTTGTTTGTTCCATCAATTACGTGGAATGTTTTGCTGTATGGTGGTGTTTCCTTGATAATTTATGTAAAATTTTTGCTATTCCAAAAAATTTTACGTAAGTTATGTTCTGTTTAAGTAAGTTCATTTTATTTTTACCATTGCGGGCGTAGCTCTTTCTCCATTTGCGCTGCATGTAAGTGCTTTCTGATTTGCGGCGAGGTCATGGATGTAAGTTCCGGGAATTTTACTGGGGTCGATATGTCTATGTCTTTGAGGGGACCCTATCCTTAAGCAACTGATTTAGCAGTAGATCCCCAAATTCCCCCAGAAGCTGGAGTAGCTGCAGTGTTTTCATGAATGTAGTCATTGTGAACCAGGTTTGTACGATTGTACGAGTTTGTACGATTCTTCGGAGATAGTTAATTTTGTCGCTTTCGGGATTTTACTGATCAGATATTGGAGTAATGGATGAGAATGAAATAAAGCTCACTGTGCTTTTTTTTTAAAAAAAACCGCATGGTGCTGTTTTCTGAAATCTTTACTGAAGGAAGTCAAAATATTTCGTGCATAGCATGGTGCAGTAGAATGAACGTTTCGTTTCGTCATGGCGATCCCATACTCCCTTAATCTGCGCAGTACTTTCAGTTGTGTAGATGATGTAGAGTGATAGAGAGATTTTTCTTAAATAAAAATAATGAAATAATGAAAACAGCAACATGGTCAGGTAAAGGGCGGAAGGGAAGCGAGAAGGAGGTAACTTTTAGGGGAGAGGAAAGAGCAACTAACACTGTAAATTTAAAAATTTACAAGGCATAGAAGGGTAGGCACTGAAAGTATTGCACTAATTTGCAGCACAGACAGTAGTAGTATTTATAGTTCGATAACAGTGGTAGTAAAAATATGGCAGCATGAAACAGTATAGTGCAGGAAGAATTGCATTTTTGCTGTTGCACCAAACAAAAATCTACACAATGTGTTTATGACCGTCGAAGTGCAATAGGGATTAGAAGGGTGTGTAAGGGAGAGGGAAGAAGGGAAAGTTGTTTCGGGAATTTTGTTCTGGTCTAAGAGGGACAAGTGAAGCATGCATTCGACGGCATAGTGATAGTGCGGTTGTTCCAAATTTCGGCTGCCCAATAGGATTGGAAACAAGGGGATTGCGCAGTGTGATCTTTGAACATATGTATAAAAGTAATTGGTAGGTCTTTCTGTATTACTGAGTATCGATAAGTTGAATTTTGAATCGTTTATATATATATATATATATGTTATAACATTTACGTGTATTTATCACAAAATACATTCCTGAAAACACAAGCACGCATGCATGCATATACAGCTATATGTACACATATTTATTTAGAAAGAAGCAGCCATAGTAGAGAATGAGTGCAGGAGGGAACTGGATGACTTCGCTTCTACTTTTCGCTACGTACTTTACAATTTGACAGCTTATTTGTTGGCGATCGGCCACCCTCTTTCCAGACCTCCCGACCAGCCTACCTACCCACCAGCTGAGTGTATTTTGGAGTTCTTCACAGGCAGGGACAGGGAAGACAGATTAGGGTACACCCATAAGCGATTTTCGTTCACTTCAGGGAACCTTGTTGCTCTCTGCTTTCCCTTCCCCTCCAATCTACTCCAAACTCCAAGTGTTGTCGTCAACGCTGTTCTAGTCATTGCTGTCTGTCTGTCTGTATATATATATATACATTATATATATATATATATACATTATATATATACATTATATATATACATTATATATATATATATATGCGTGTGTGTGTGTCAGTATGAGAGTACGTATTCCTTTTCGTTTTCTTCACACAAATTTTGCGGGCGGAGCATTTTTCAGATCAGAGGAGCCGAGCAAGAGAGGCCGGTCTTTGATCAGTGTGGGCTGCCAGCAATGACTGAGGCGGCAGCTGCAGCAGCCGCTTACGCAGCCATTGCAAACAACGTTGCGGTAATCATGCGTAGTAGTAATGGGAGTACGTCGCCATCGTTCTCGTCACAACAGGCTTATTCCATTGAATCGATCCTGAAACCCGGTAATTCGGAATCACCAACATTGAATGAATCAACAAATACTATGGAAAATCATTCCGTCCCGCTTGCGGATGGCGAGCCAACCATCTGGTCGGTCATTTTTTAACACTAACAAACAAACGGACAAGCCAGTTTCTTTTCCCAGTAGCAAATAATCTGTTAATCCACATCGGTTTACCCATTTCAATTCTTTATCCAAAAATATACTTTAAATAATCTCAATATCCTAGTTTCTGAATTTAAATGTTCGTGCTTCTCAAACATATTATTCGCACATTCCTAGTCATCGTGTCTTTGTCTTCGAGCAGAAGTTCTGCCTGTCTCTGTTCATTTCTGCATTTCCAAAAATTCGTTTTGGTCTGCTTATCGTATATATATATATATATATATATATATATATTGCTCACTGTCATATATGCGAACGAATCTGTTGTTCGAGTGCTTCTTCATTTTTTTCGGAAAAGAGATGAAAAATTAGAAACTGACTGCTGTGTAAAATAATGAACAATAAGATAGATTTAGTTTTCACTACATCTATTTTGAAGTGAAACTTCTAATTTCCTTGCCAAAATCCTTGCTGGTGGAACCACACTGAATTGCTTCTTTGCTTGAGAATCAAAACGATTATTAGAAACATAATATGCATTCTAATATTTTTAATTTCGTACATATGTGTGCTTTTGTAAACGATGAATCTGCTCCTTGTTCCCCATTGTCGTCCTTATTTTCCAATTTCATGATTCCGGGTCATTTGGAATATGAAACCCCAATAATGAGCTGTGATCCAGTTCATAAAAGTGAATGATAAAAACACCTCACTGTCATTGTTGTATCAACCTTAACATCAGAGTTCCATTTTCCACTGATTTCTCTTCCAGTTCAATTTACGATTTTCACTTTCTTTTTTCATCAAAATGATGCTGCTTTCTTGACACTGTGATGAAATTTTCCTCAGCTGAGACAACAAAAAGAGAACAAACCAGACAATTTAACTGATTAACAGGACCGCACTCTTCAGTGGCCTTGATGAGAAGATGACCTTTCGTCTTTTTTTCTATCTTACACTATTGATCTTACAACTTTTCAATTCCAATTACTAGCTATCTTTAGACTTGTCCTTTCGCCGAATCGTCCACATTTTTGGCGTCACTGGAGTATTTAACACTTTCCTCAAAATATGCAACAGATATTAGGCAATGAAGATACACTTTTAGTTAAGCTGTATAGTTTTTTTTTGAAAGAGATGGATGGAAAGATTTTCTGATTTTTATTAGTTGTGGAGTAAATCGTTCCATTAATCGCTATGCGTACTTGGAATCGGAATTTCTGTGGAAAAAATGAGTATTTAAATGTAGGGGTACACACATTGTACATGTAATTTGCTTTTTAAATAAATCACAGCTGCTATGTCTTTTGGATCAATGTTACATAAACAAGAAATTTACATACACAGTGGCTCTGAGAAAGCTGTGTTAAGAGCTCTCTTGCTCCCAACAGCTGTAATAATGTGATGTACTTCTAGATTATTAACAGCGAAATTCTTGATAATATTTGAGACCCAAGTACCACAAATAACTGAGAAAAGTATAGATTATAGCCTACTAGATACGAAGGACTATATTTGTAAGTACTGATATGAAAGACGCGGACATATCTTTTGACTTCTGCTCATCTACAGTTATTCTTTATAAATGAAAGAAATTTAAATTTCTGAAAAATGAGAAATTTTTCAAGCATTGAGCTTAGAATTTTCCAGTTCGGTTTGCCATGATGAAGCAAGTGGTCGGCATTATGGCGTTATTGCATGTTTCGGTTGCAAGGGTTTCTTTCGTAGAACGGTAAGTTGATTTATTTCAGTTCATCCCTTAATGCGTTGAAATGTTGGAAAATCAGGTATACCGGATTTAAAGTCGGCTTTCTCTTGATGGTCTGCTGATGCGTTAGTGAATGTGCTAGGATACGAATACGGTACATTTTGCAATGGCAGCGATACAAGCTTGGATCCGTCTGAGAGATTTTTTTTTATTTGGTCCGTGAAAATTGAATGAAAATTAATGCATTAGCCTACCCATCCATTAATGCTTACCATTTTCACTTGAATGCTTATTTCTGCTTGGTGTTTAAAAGATATGGTTCGTTATCATTAATATCAGTAATGCCTTGTAGGTTCGTGCTGGGAAAAATTACGTATGTCGTTATGAGCAGAAGTGTAGAATTGATAAAGGTGAGTAGTGCATTCGGCATCAAACTACGGTTTCTCTAGAAGATTTTCCCTTGATTAAAAAATTGTGCGAATGAATTGGAATGAATTGATGACTGAACCTCCTCTGTCACTCACTCATTTATTTCCTCCATATCACTTCTGTTTCTTCTATGCAAGGGTCCAATAAATAATTTGTTTGAAGCAGAACCACTAAATATGGACATCGCTGTTAATCGTTCACTCTTTGTTGACCTTGCTCTGGGAAGGAGGAAGTTCCGATGAGCTGAGATCACTTTCACTGAGCCTTTTTTTTTATTGTGTCGTCGTTCGGTGATTTGGAAAAATGGGTTCATTTCAAATTTCATTGTTTGAAAGTTTTATGGCTATCCAGTTATGGTGTCTGTCATCTTATAATCATTTTGGATTTTTTCCGTCAATTTTTCCCATTCTTTTGCAGTTTTCGAAGAAAAAAGGGACAAAGTTTGTTAAGTTCATGAACCGGAAGTCTAACTAATTAGTTTCTAGTATTATAGCAAACAATTTCAGCTGGTCGTAACGTTTGTCGATCTTGCCGTTTTCAAAAGTGCCTTCAAGTAGGAATGGAACCTGACGGTGAGTAACCTTGTTTGACTTTCGATCTTTTTCTTCTTAATTCTTCATCGTGAAGATGAAGAAAAATGCACTTCACTGTTCAAAATGAGGGAAGTAGCTAGCTAACCTTTGACCAGAAAGTCCATTGCATTGAGTACGTGGAAGCTGTGCTGCTGCTGTCTATATCTCTTCCCTTTACACCTTTTCGAGATTCGTATAAACTGTCTGTATTCATCCTTTTTCACTTCCTTTTTTTCTTATGTGGGCGTCCCGAACCCATCTTTTCTAACTCTATTCGCACTTTCATCAAAACTATACATTCTTTAAAATAGTGAATATACCCTTATCAAAACTGGATGTAAATAAAATTTTTCTTCTTACAAATTCAAGTAAAAGCAGTCATTTAATTGTAAATGATGCTTTTTGCGCAGGTTAGAATGTTTTGTTTTTGTGCAAAAACAGAATTTCAGCAATTCGACCCGATCGTGATAAAACTGGCAGACAGAAAAATCCACGCAGAAGTGGCTGTGAAAACGGTACAGCCAAAATGTCAACAACTTCTGCATCCGGAGAGCTACCATGTGTTGCATCTGACAAAGACGGCGTTGTGTGTGATGATGCTCGAACTTGCACTCGATCCTCCTGTATGAACAGCACCTCAGGTCACCCGAAATATTCAGCGCCCGTTGGTGATGAGTCCGTCTTGGCAACACTCTGTGAAATTGAGCATATATGCAATCAGCTCCGAGACGCTCATCCAGTTATAACGAAGACTTCCATCACCCTTATTGAGGCTGTTTTTCGTCCTTCACTCATCGTTTCACGATCTCCGGTAAGTAATCTTGAGATTTTTTTGTTTCATTTCTCTTATTTAAATGTGAAATTTTAAATTGTTTAATTTGTGTTAAATGTGAAATTTTAAATTGTCTTGTAGGATAATTTACATTCCTTATTGAGTAGTACATTCACCCGACTTTTTCAGGATATTTTCGCATAATGAACTAATAACTGGCCGATTCAATTCTTTTTTTAAAATACATAAAGTCTACAAAAGGGTATTCTGAATTCAGCTTTTCCTCGTCGTCAGGGATTTATATCGCCGTAAAAGATTATAGGTTTTCTTTTAGCTGATATTCGATGGGTCTTTGGGTCTTGCTGGCTGCAAAGAATATTTTGAAAATCTGAGGCGCCTCATTGTATTGCTTTTTGATTATGCCAACACACTTAAGCCAATCGCCGATCTCACACCTAGTGAAAAGGTTTTTCCTCTTCATAAACTTTCGCACATAGAATGAAATATGGCGCACTATTATTGGAGGGGGAACAGATCGCTTCTCACTAAAGATCAGAATGAAACACTTGTTGCCGAGAAGTTTAATTTAATGTTTTGTAATATGTTAATCCGATTCGCATTTTATTCCTCTTTCAAACTATTTCAGTAGTTCTTTAAATGAATCCACATTTTCATTAGTTCAGGCTTCGTTGACTTTTGGTCTTCTACTACTCAGGATAGACAATTTTTTTCATTTGCATTTCGTAATCCAACCTTTGCAGATATCGATAATTCATAACTGTGTGTCACAATTTGCACTTCTTGTTGTTGCATACCACACTGTTCGTAATACTGATATGGTCAGCGGCACAATTTTACTACCTAGTGGGCATTATTTCCATCGTGAAAAACCTGTTATTATCACTGGGCAATGTGAAGATAAACAAATCATATTGCTGGAATCCCGAATTGAGTTCGTTTTTGCTGTATTTCATAGCCGCTTCTTGAATCCAAAAATTCATTCTCATTTAATGGATGTAATATTTAAATAATGAGAAACTAAAGCGTAGAAATGTGTGTTATGTTTAGGTGAACTCGATTTTATCGCCCGGATAAATTCTGTATTTCATTTGAATTCTGACATTTAATGAAGTTTAAAAGTAATGAAATGTTATAGGATTGTAAAGAAAAACATTCTGGATGTTGTTTTGAGTCCAATGCGACGTTTGGGATTTACCGAAATCGAGATGGTTGCACTGAAAGCGATAATTGCTCTGGATCCGAGTGCTGCAAATCTTACACCTCAGTCTGCATCCTTACTGGCTGTAGCTCGTGGATCTGTTCAGAATGCACTTTATGCTCATCTCAGTAGTCGTCTTTCACCAGCCGAGGCGACAACTCGCTTTGGCAACCTTCTGCTTTTGATTGCCGGTCTTTCCGTGAGTATTTTGCCATATTACTTCGTTTTTATCGTAATTAATGGTTTGAGTTTTAAGAATTTAAAGTCTTACCGTTGCTCAGAGTAAAACAAGTTTGGAGATACATGTCAAACTTGGGAAGCTTTTGAAATGAAAACTTTCAGAAAATGGGTGCGGCGTTGTGTGGTATGATGCAGTTATGTCGTGACCTTTCAATAAACATTGATCCAGTAGTTGATGGACTATTTTTTAACGACTCTTGTTGATTTGCAGCACTTCACTACTGAATACCAAGTGATCTGGTCAGTTTACTGCCAAGCCAAAACAGGATCTCTTCTACGGCTCATGTCTTAATGACATGCTCACTTTGATTAATTCAATATTTTTTCGGATGTGCTTTCAAATTCGATACTGATTTCGTATGATGTCATACGAATTTATGTGGTCTCTCTGTGCCTTGGAAATTGATATAACGCACAATTTTAATTATGGCTTTTTTATCAGCTGTTAAATATTTCCCCGGGGAATGAGCAAATTATCTCCTGAACATTATGCACCGTGTTTTGGTAGTGATGGTGTTAGATATTTGTATCCTAAAGGGAACTGCTGACTTCAGTGTTTTGTTGCTTTGTGTTGGGTCATTCAAGTACTGAGTCTTTCGATTTGTGATACGGTGCTTTTTTTGTAACCTTGATTTAGCTTTTTTTTCAGTTCCAACTTTCATTGAACTTTGTGGGTAGTTCAGAAATTTAAATCTTTTTTTGGTGGGGTACTTATGGGGATTCTTGCGTAATAAGTAGAGCTAACATTAAATCTAACCAAAGTATTTCTATTTCAGGCTTGGCAGCTTGTCTTTTTTTACTATTTAGTTTTTCTGATTTCGCATTCTGTGTTACGGCGGTTTTTCCCGGTGTACTTGGCAAAAATTCCTAAGCATTTTCCTCTAATTTTGAAAACGGTGAAATATTCAGCTCTGGGTTTTTTTTGGGGCTCTCTAAAATTTCTTACTTCCTTAATCCATTTCATTTATATCCGAGTGTTTATTCATATTTGTGGAATCTGCGTTTCTTTCAAATTTTAAGACTGTTTCAATTGTTATGATTTAGCTGCAACTTCAGTGAAAGTTGTTGAGTTGGTTATCGCTGGTATCTGGAACGGGCCTACATTTTGCTGGTCTCTTGGGCGGGGGTACGAAATACTTGTGGTTTTTCTATTGTTGGTTGAAAACCCTTGCTGTCACTATTCTGGCTGGGTTTTTATTCTTCAGTTTGCAGCTGTCATCGGGCATTCGTTAATCATTGGAAAGAGGATTTAGACTTTACTTGTTTCTCAACTTTTCATTGGGACCATTATGTATTGGAACTCACTAATGAAATAAATGCATCGATAGTGGAGTTTCCTGCATTACCATGTTGCAAACTAAGTTCATTGGGATTGGTTTTAGATGAAAAAGAGGAATGAATTTTGAGAATTAACGAAAAATAAACAGTTTTCACAGTTCAGAAGACATTTGTGCTATTTTAATGATGCCTTTGAGGGGGAAATTTCTATGATAATGAGGCGCTATGAGGTGTTCTATGCTGTTATTATTGTATATTAATTTGATGTGTAAAAGAGTAGTGGTTCACCCGAAATTGGTGGTAGCAGCAGTATGTAATTGTGTGTGTGTGTGTGTGTTTTTGTTGTCCTCAAGAAAGAACTGCAGGCAGTTTTTGTCTGCCAGAATCAAGAAAGAAGGTTCGCAAGCATTCTCCGAAAAATTGTTTTTGTTTCTTAAAAGATAAGTGCTACTATTACTGTTAGTGATGACAACTTTGCGAGGAAAACATGCAGGAATGTGAATTGAGGTGATTCTTCTTTAATGGAAAAATGGAGGGTAAGGTCCTGTTCGTCTAGGAGTGGAAACGGATGAACAACAAGCAATGGGATTAACAAGTGTGGGAGGGGGTCAAGAGTACATTTCGGCATGTTCAAGCGTCCTCACTTTTTCTTCTGGCAATGTATGTAGTTTTATTGCAGTATTTTATAGAAAAATATCTCATTAAGCCTACATATTCCTTCAGCTTATTGAATTGCATTCATGATTTGATCTGAGGAGATTCAAAAGATTATCTTCTAAACTGATAGATAATTGGGTGAGCATCGAATATTAGTTAGTTCAACAATAATGCTTCCAACTTTAAAGTGTTGCCAGTCCTCAATTTTAAGGAAAAATGAAATTTATTCAAATTATGGATGGTTGTGTTTTAATTCAAAACACCAAAGAAATTATCTATGAACTTTCTAGTAATTTACGGTCATTCTAGCAACCTTTATCATTTGCCATACTAAACTATATTGTTTCATTTAAAAATCCTTCATGAGTCACTGCTTCGAAGAAGCATAGTCTTATTTCAAATGTCCAAAAGAGAGAGAGAGAGAGAGCTAAGGTAGCAGTGCTATTACTACATTTCCTAAAAGAAACAACAGGGAAGCAGGGGCAGTTATAGCATAGGCTTACAGAGAATGATAAGATGCTATTACATCATAGGATGATGATTTGCATGTTTTCCCCTAAAAGTTTTGCTTCAATCAACTCTTTCGTTCCTCTTATTTGTTGTCCTCTTGTTCAGTATCCCACTTAGCTTCCCAATGAATATCTTTACTCCCCCAGACTCTATCTTCAAATATGCGCACATCACATCTGATAACGCATACGCCATAACTGATCTTCAAATTTCCGCACAATTTACGAGAATTCGTGACAGTTGATCTCTAATTCATTAGAGTCGTGATACTTCTCGCAGTGTTTTACATCATTAACGAAATGCCTTTTTAAAATACATTTCAAAGTAATTTTTTTTTAGTGTTTGCTCGAAAGTTTAAATAAATCTGCTGCTTCACCATATGTGCTCATCTGTACTCCAACTTGCGCATGATCAATGACCCGCTACAAACTGATGTCTGTGTCTGTCTATATATATATATATATGTGTGTGTGTGTGTGTGTGTGTGTGTGTGTGTGTGTGTGTGTGTGTGTGTATGTGTGCGTGTATATATATATATATGATGCGTGTGCCATAGTGTATGAATTCTTCAACCCAATTTAAGATTGTTTACAAAAGTTCCTTTATAACCATCCGTTTTCTCATTCAATCAGTAAAGAGAAATTCGGCTGTAATAAAAAAAAATGCACTTTGTCTACAAACGAAAAGAAAGAAGCAAATGAATGGATGCTAAATGAATTTCCTAACAATTCTTCCTAGGAGAGGAAGGAGGGATAAATATACGAGGAGTCCAACTCTGTATGTATATATGTGTATGTATGTGTGTGTACAGACAGGGAAGTCCTTTATTGAAAAAAAAAAGAAATGATGGTTCGCGATTGGAATGATAGTAAGAAGAAGAATGATGACGATGATCAGTAGTAATACGGGAACCGTTCAATAAGGGAGCAAAGAACAGTGTGAAGCAAAAAAAAAAAGAGTTGGATTATTTTTTGAACAAGTGAGCGAAAGAACTGAATTCCTTTCAATCTCAAAGAATGCCGAGAGTGACTATTCTTTCTTCCACAAAAACAGCGCGTTGTGGCTTAGAGAACAACAGCCGGAAAAAAATCAATCATCCATCTATCGATAGAAAAATGATCCGTACCACCCAAGTAATGCCAACAATGAATTTAGCATGATGAATTAATGATGCAAAGATTATCGGATCAATTGGAGACATCAGATCCGAAAATGCACAAATATAAAAAAACACACGTTGCTAATGTGGTCAATTAATAGTATATCATTTTAGATTTATTCAAATTGTACAAGCAAATTGTAATGATGAATAGAGAAGAACTGATAGAATCGCACCAGAACACACAATTTTTTATAAGCGTTATTCGAGAATTATTTCCCATATTTTTTGGATGGCTAATCTAAAATTTCATCATTAATCAATATTACATCTCATTCTCGTCCCAGTTTGTGTCTTTCTCTGCCAGATAAGCGGTAGAGGAAACAAAAATGGTACAATTCAAAAATTAAACACTTTCGGTTTCAATCTTTGCTTTAATTAACGAAATATATTTCAACATATAGCCAATAAAATTTAATAAATCCGTAAAATGACTAGATTTCCCAGAAAGTCCTGACAGCAGAAAATTCAAAATGGCGTTTACTACAAGTTGCGTGAACTCTCACAAAAATAATTTCTTCGATAAAAAAAGTTATAACTGTTAGGATTTTCTAGAAGTCGATCACTATCACTCTTATCAAGTTATCCACTTCATTCGAACATCAAGAAAATTTACAATTATGGATGTTTTTGTGCACGATAGTACTTCCTAACTCCTTTTTTTATCGTTTAAAGTTGTTTGGAAAGATTTAAATAAGTTGTGATAATCCATGAGTGAAAAGCTAATCGTTCTCTGAACAATGAGTTATGAAGTATAAAACTACGAGACTTTGTAAGTATGAATTTATTTACCGATATGAAAACATACAGGTACCGAATTATACCAACGTTTATCTGCCTATCAATAGGAGAAATTTTAAATGTATCGCTTTTTTGGTTTCTTCTAAAATATATATTAATTTTAACAATAACAATTAGCAGTAAGAATATCACAACAAGCAAATTTGAAATTTGATTAGCATAAAAGCCATTGGTATTTTTGGAAGGAAATTGTTTACACCCATTCTTCTTGAACAAAATATCCCGCGGTCGATCCTCCTTGTACCAGCGGCACAATACGTTCTTTGTAGTTGCATGCATTAACGAATGGTTTTGTAGCGCATACGGAACAGCTTGAATTACGAGCCTAAAACATGTTTGAAACTTCAAATCTAATTTGCAAATTACCTTCATTTAACATTATTATCATAAAATTCTCACTTATTGTATTCATGAATTTATATCTGCGAATTTTACCGCCACCTATTTAATTTACTGAAGCTGCGGAGTTTAAAAAATGGAAAATATAGGCCCTGCACTGCTTAACGTAGTCCTTAATGACATGATAGCTTACTTTAAACAATATTGTACATATCGATTCAAGCGTGAATGGGTAAAAAATAGCAAGAGAGAGCAATATGTTGAATAGCGCATTAAAATAAGAATTGGGCCCCGAGTGATTTAATTGGTTAATATGAGTCGCTGCCGCATAACAGTTCAATGAATAGAGTATTGTTATTAATAGTAACGATCTGAAATACACTGCTACTGCTAATCAAAAATTCTTACATTTATAATTTTCGAAATTTCAGAGAAATTATCAAGTTTTAATTTAATATATAAAGAAATATTCAATCAAAATTTTTGCTTAGAAGCAATTTTTTATTGAAGAACCATAAATGCAATTTATAACTATGAATCAGTTTTAGAAATCAGAGTTTAAATTTAATTCTAATTTGAGACGAAATAACAAATAGAAAATGGTAAATGCGTCTTAACTTTTTAAAAACCTTTACATTATGACATACCAGATAATGTAAAAGTAAATTTTCTTACAAAAGTTGTGTTGTTGCAGCGCTTGCCCTTTTGCTCAATTCAGCAGATGTTGTTCCATTTCTGGTTGGTGAGATGTTTTCTGCAAAACTTTTGTTGTCCATGTATTCTGAAATGATTCTTAAAAATTTAATTCTAAAAATAACATAAAAGCACAAATAAAAATAGAGCCATCAGTTTCCTTATCTCCCGACAGCTCGTAAAGTTTATAATATATTTTTTCTCCTTTTCTTATCAACATATCAGATGAACTTTCAAAAAAAAATTCCAAAAATAACATTTCAGGGGGTCTGAGTTTTGTTCCCCGATTTCCTTTCGCAAAGATTGGGTATTATCGAAGAATGAATGGCAGGACACACTGAAGCTTTGATAACTCTCTTCCATTAGCCACCAAAAGTAGATATTTAAAATTGCGAAAGGAAATCAAGGAACAAAATTAAACAAAATGAATAACTCAAATAATCGCGATCCCATTTCGAGAAAGTTTATAGCGATCGCATCTAAAGTACTGTTGTGCGCTCAGTAGCGGTACTAAAGTGACAAAGAATATAGTTTTGATAGTCAGTCAAATCATAAAAATATACTTTACTTTTCACAGCATCTTCTTGGGTTTGGCCATTTATTATTTGTAGCAATAATTAATATTAGAAGAAAAGTTTGATTCACGATAAGACTATATATAAATAATTTATGCGTTATAAAGGATATCGCAATTTCAGTACGGCAAATTTATAAACTTTGTTATTAATTGAATTATACCATCAAGAAACTAACGTTGAGAATTAGATTCAACAGATAAGTGCTTTGCTGTAATAAGCAGACGTAAAATGATGACAACGATCCCCAATATAAGAATAGTGCAAATAAATAGAGGTACATAAACGGCATACGCAAATATTTTAATATGCATCGTTGATGAAGGAAAGCAGCTATAAATTTAAAATAAATTATATAATCTCAAATTTAAATTTTAGCTCACTTTTAATGGCAAATAAACTCAACTAATCTCTCCAATCATTTTCGCAATTTAATCAAAAAAAATCTAAAAAGTAAAAATTTTCAAAAATTGATCCTTTACAATACTCCGATTAAAACTTACAATTTTGGTGATCCATCATGTGATAAGGTATCAGTAGCTAGCACCGCTGACATGGAAATCAGCGGAATACCATAAGCGATAAAGTACATCTTCATAATTGCTCCATACAATGCTACCTACAACAATCACTTCTTCATGAACTGAGCATCTTAATTTCAAAAGTACTAAAGATTTCTATTTTTATAAATTAATTTCATAAAGAGAACACCGCAATATTTTTACCTTTTCATCTTCTGCATAAACTTTTTCACCAGCTTTGTTCCGATTGTAATCTTCCACAATCTTTCCAAGTCTACTTTGTAACAATCTAAAATTTAAATTTCAGCCAATACTTTTATTCGATAATTATAATTGAACATGTTTAAAATTTATTATTAAAAGTATTTGTTAAATTACCGCCTATTACATACCTAAAAGCTTGCATAATCCAGAAGTAAACAGTAAGAAAGAAGAAATGCAGAGCGATAGTAATTGCTCGACATATTTCGGGATCAAGAATTCCATTGTAGGCAAATGAATATAATGCACACAGCAGAAACATACAAGCGCACATATTAACAATCACTTGTTGACTCCTCTGTGAACAATAGTTGGATGTGCTGAAATTTTATTTGAAAATAATTTAAGACAAGAAATTAAACTTAATTTAATGTTTAGAATAACAATAGCAATAATAATTACTATTAAGATAGCAATAAAAGCAAACAAAATTAATAAAAATAGAAACCAGAATAAGTACACGTTGATAGTAATGGTCAAAAGCATTACTGAAGCCAGAAAACCGGATGATATACACGTATACCATGTTAATTTCACTGATTTTCTTATTGTGGTAATCCTGAAAATAGGCTAATTTTTATTCTTTTTTCCATTTTCCACTTTAAATTAAAATTCCCATATGTAAATAAAGTTATCTCAGCATCAGTATTGTTACAACAATATTGCAGTCTTCTTGCAAATCTTCAAAATTGAAAATCTAAAAACTAGTCAAACAATAAAATATATTTCCCCTCAAAGGTTGTAATATTTTTTTAGATAAATCGAGCATTCATCTAATATATCTCCATGCAATTAAAAAAACTTTTTCCCTAAAGTTTTTAATGACCTATAGTGGATGCATAAATATATAAACAGGTACACGCTGTCTTTTTCACGCTGCCATCATAAATCATTTCTTTATTAGCCTAAATAATACATCCTAAATTCGATGATTAAAGCTTATAAAACAAACATCAACGATACTTACAATTCTTCACAAAATGTATTTTGCATTGCTGCAAAATATTTGATATTTTCGTTAACATTCTCGGTAAAAAAAATTCGAGAACAAGTAAAAAGAATATTATTTGGTCCCACTCTTCGCAACAAACAATTTGTCTCTTTGGTCAGTTTCCATCCTTCTTCATCATCCCACACACCCAATTGAATATAAAATGCAATATTACAGTTATCATAAAAATAAACTCGAGAAATTACAGTTTGTCCTCCTTAGAGCCAATTAAGTACGAATTACAATTCATTTTGTAGATAGTCACAATTAGACCTTCTATATTTCGTCGTCCCATGATAAGTTTATGATATGAATCAAAATGCACTCAAAAAATACTGGAAAAAGTATTACTAGCATTACTAGATCAGTCAGTCAGAAGATAATGTCAATCTTTTAGTTTATTCGTACTATTCATGATATTGTTTTCTTGACGTTTGTAAACGCTTCATTTACGTATATTTCACTTAATGTCATGTATCAAAAATTTTTGTCAAGTTTGAACTTCAACAAAAATCTATGAAAATTATCTCAGATAAAACTTCACTACCAAATATGATAGCCTATTACTGATATCTTTCAATATTTTCATAGTATTTCATCAATATTTTTAATTTGTTTATTGGAAGAGTGGAGCATACCTGATCTACCGTCTTATTTATCTGATAACTGATTAAAAATCCATAGAAATCATCGTTTTCCAACCCTGACATCTAAAAATAGAAATGTCAAAATTCATACAAACAAAAAGTATATTGTAAAATTTACAAAACGTTTGAATTTTGACAATGAATTACAACAAATCCTAATGGGATTAAATTTTTTGATAAAAGTTATGCAACCTCTTCAGGAATACTGCTTGATTTTGATGACCTGAGAGGAATATGTTTGATGGCAACACCGTACACTTCATTTATAACAGACCATCTTCCATCTAAGGTATGTTTACTTTTAAAAATCTTCGAATTAGATAACCATAATACTCGGACAATGGTTAGTGATGGAAATTGACCAATCGTTGAACGAGGAATGCGAACTGATGCTCCACCTGTAAATTAGTAATTTAAATTCTAATTCAAATCTAAACTATACGGGCGAGTCGAATTTGAATGAAACGATAATGTTAACCTATTGATAGTAGTTCAACGAATTGTTGTTCGCGACATGAAAATTTCGAACCATCATGTAAGGCTAAGAAACCACCTTTCATAATTTCAGCTGTTGTACCATCATAACCTTTAGCAAACAGGTGTTGGCATATTGCTAAATTATCCTCCTGGATAATTTGATCACTTAGGAGTAGATGCTGTAGGTATTGGCGCATTAGTTTACCTGAACTTTCGTAAAATCTTGCATTTTCAAATATATTTTCATTTAAACACAATTTCGAAATCTTAACCTCTCGGGCATCAAGGAAAGCTTTTTACTCTGGTCTGATATAAATTCAGCAAATTAGCCAAAACTATTTTTCAAAAAATTTGCATTTGCATGATATTTTTGTGATTATTGAAAGGTTCTTCCTAAACAAATGTTATCAAGGTTTTGAAATTTAGTCTTATTAAATATATAAGATTTTTTGCATATCATGCATACCACGTAAAACTTGTGAAATACCAATTACTTAATTTTTCTGCTTCTGCAATAATTCGTTCCATTTTTATTATTTGCAAACATAATTTTTACGAATTTTATTTTTGATGAAATTGTACTATCTCCTGATGCTTTGTTTAACTTTATTGTCAACAATTATAATTTCTGAAAAAATCCCAATATTGATTTAGGCCATGATGAAATCAAACTTCTAATCATTTCTTGCTGCATTCATAATAATCAGCATAAATGTAGTTATTTGCATTAAAATGTTGCTATTATTGATGAGTTTGATTTCTAAGAATCATTTCTAAAAGATGACCCATCTACTTTAATTATCGCTAAAAAATTGCATTAACATGATAATAATATGAATCTTTCGGATGGCTGAAATTTTTTGCGCACTTTTCAATAATTTAAAACATTGTAAACGATCCGAGCTTTGCTGGAACGAAGCAGTGGAAGAAAGCTGATTTCGACATTTTCATTCACCATCTTCGTAAATAACTTTTTTTTTCTTAGTGAAAATGTGGTGGCGAGTCGTTATCGTGTACTGTTGCACAGTAATTAATGCATTGTATATGTTATTTCCGCTTCACACTTTAAATTTTAATCGTTACATTTGTATTGTCTGATGATTTTGAAACATTACAGTGTGTGTGAAGAATTTCAGCATAAAATTTCTCGATACTAATTTTAGAAGAAATATATTCGGGAACTGAAGCAGAAGCTTTTAAGCAGTAGTAAGTGTAGCGCATGTGCTAATGGTAAATATAAATCGATAAATATAAAGGAATCAATATGAGTAACTCCTAAAAGTTAATTTTTTCGGAAATTTTAAAATACTTACCAAATTCCTATTTGAAAAAAACGATTTGATGTTCGCAAAATAGAGAAAAAAGAAGAAAGACAAAGAAAAGGCTTGCTGATTAGAGGGTTTTTATAAACATTTCACAAATTTCTAGTTTGAAGTGCTGCTATCTTTTCCTTAAGATCACTGTATTCAAATGAAAAAATTTGAAAATTAATTATACAGTAAAATAGCAACTATTACCGTTAAGTTCAGTGCGGGCAAATTCAGATTGTAAAACGAAATTCAGTGCAGCTAACATTTGTCGACTGGATAAACCAGTTGCATTACCTATAAGCCAGCTAACAAGACGAGTTTCATAGGCGGACATTTCAAATGGCCGCCTCTTTATTCGAAGTAATTCATCCACGTACTGGAAAAGACAGTGATTTTGCATTCTTTTGTAGAATATTTAATGAATTCTTTAAAACCTTAACGAACTTATTTAAATTGTTTATTTAAATTTCATTTTTTTGTGACGACATTATTTAAACATTTTCTTAATATTATTATCCAACAATTACAAGTTAAACAAAAACTAAACATACCTGAGATGTCCGTTTATGTTGTAATAATGTTAGGAAATGTTTAATTAACGGTGAAGTGTAGGCACATCGACTTGTGTCTGGTATTTCCCATTTACCATGTTTACATCGTCGATATGCTTTGGCATTCGCTGGACCATTGGGACATCTAGCCGTAACTAATCCTTGCTTAGAAACTGCCCAAATGATCTCACCTTTTTCATCCGCTTGCCATTCCTGAACACTAGATTGCTTAAATATTTGAAAATCTTAAAAACTTTTCAATTATTCAAAACTATAAAAATACCTGTACACAGTGAACCGTATTCACTAGCACTGGTGTCATACGTATTGTATTCCTTAACACTGATCGATCCTGTTCCACGTAGCATGTCCAATCACCTTCGTCTTCCCAAATTACTGGATTCAAACAGAGTTTCAGGTATCTGAAATTCTAGAATAAATCTGCTTTGGCAAAAGCAAAAAATTTTATATAAATGCTTTCTTGGAATTCTTGCATTTTCAATGATATTTGAATGAACACACAAAATGGTATGTTTTGAAAAACTTTCACAAGCAACTTTAATTAAAAGTTCAGCTTCCGCTTTTAAACTATTCTGCTTGCAATTCATCAAAAAACTCTCATTATTATAACAATATTATGTTTTTTTACAACAACAACAACAACAATAACTATTGATCGAACATTTATTCTACATACTATTCATGCTTTTATAAAATTTTTTGCATAACTGTCAACTTCAAACTATCAGAACTTCTTATTTATATTGAAACATAGGACACCAAACTATTTATGAAATGGTAATGAAAATAGTATGATAGAATTTGCAATGTAATCAAAAGAAGAATGTCCGAATAATGAGGCAAGAGTGAAAAGAGAAATTTTACTCTTAAAATTGGAAATATTTTTTATTCTCTAAATCTACAATCATATGAAATTTCATATATATTGGTATAAAAATAACATACAGAAATTCACTATCATTGTAATACGTGGTGAATAATCGTGAAGAATCAACGAAGGGAACGTTATTTTTCAGCCATTCCATTTGTACATTGTTAGATTTCGATACTTTGCATGTGATATTCTTCTCATCGCCCGGATATACGATCAACGATCGTGAAGTTGGCTCCAAATCGAACACAGTCGGATTAAAATCGCCTGAAGTTTTTCTTTTCTTCAATGAATACATCTTTTTATTTTTCCTTTTAATTTTGAAAAATCACAAATTCACCTCTTCCACAACTTCTTTTTAGTGCCTTTGCACTCAGTTTTGCAACCTGCATTCCGCGTAATGAATAAGGAAATATGCAAACCGTCCGATTTGAAACTTGCACTTGCTGATCCTGAAATTAAACCAGTATTTACTGCTGCGTTGAAGTCAAAAAAATCATTTAAGATAAGTAAGCATTTTTTTTGAAATTAGGTGTCAAATAAAGTGAATAAGAAAGAAAATCTTTTGCTTAACCTTAACAAAACGAAGCAAGTCAGCCATTTGACAATCACATGACAGTTGATTTGACATAATACTTATTCTACGAAGCTTGCTTAGCGAAGCAAAAGTTCCATCTGGAAATGAGGATAGCGGATTTGAATCTAAATTTAACTCCTCCAAGGATTCCAGTTCAACAAATGATAAACGATCCAATGCATGCAATTGATTATCGTTTAGTAAACTGAAAAATGTATGAAAGACTTTCGACTTTTCCAAATATTTGTACCTTTTTACTGAAAAGAAGAAAGATATCAACTTAGATTAATAATTTTTAATTAACGCAAAAGCAGTTTAGAGATAATGATAACTTGACAATCTTCTACAAATTTCAGTTTTACTAATGGTAATCCCTCTAAGCCTAACTATCCTACTCGTAACTCAAAATATAAAATGTCAAGCTCTATAATTAAACGTACAAAAAAAGAAAATTAAACTTGGTAGGCACTTAAGAGTGTTTTATCCCTTACCATACTTATTCGCCATATTGTAGGAATTACGCATAATATTCGTATTTCTTGAAAGCAATAATGTATATATTTCTTTAAAAAATTTAAATGACGTTTCAAAATATTTATGAAGCAGTAGCAAATTAGTAAACTATAGAATTACCATTCTGAAATTTGATTCACAGAAATACTTACAGGACTTTAAGGTTTGATAAAGTTTTGAAGGCACCAGGAGATATGAACATAAGTGAATTGTGAGATATATCCCTAAAAAAAATAACTTCTCATGAAGCATTGAAGGATGCTGAACTAAATCGAGTTTTTTTAATTATCAAAATTCAAACAATTTGAAATTTACAGTATTTCAAGGGTTTCTGGATGCCGTAATGACGAGAAAGAACTGGAATTAATTGATCGGAAAACGTTTCCACTCAAGTTCAGCAGATATACTTGACCTCCAATAGTGCTTGGATAAAATTCGAATATGGGTGCTTTCAAGCGTGCAGTTTGAGCAATTCTCTAGAATAAATAACTTGTATCAAATAGCTTTTATAATTCAAATCTATATGTTTTCTTCTTATCTTATGAAATTTTTAAAGTACTGCAATAGGCTCTCTTATAAGGAAGCGCAAAGGAGACTTACATCAAAACGCTGTCCAGAACAGTCCACTACAGCGGTCTCTGCTAAATGAGAGCATCGAGTCCAGTTGCAGTTTACCGCTATTATTAGAAAAGCAGTGCAAATGGAAACACAAACAAAGCTGCTAAATCTTTTCATCCAAACTTTCCAGTAGTTGAATTATGGCAATTGTAAAGTTTAAAAATAAAAATAAAAAGTATAAGGAGGTTTGAGAAGTTGCAAAATACGATCAATAACACGTTTTAGAAAAACAGACTTTCTTAAACGAACTTTCTTCTATGGCAATAAGTAATGTTAAATAAAAAAAAATCATCCAAACTCAGGTTTTTCTATTTACAAATTATCTTTTCCATTTACCAATTATTCTTTTCCTAATTTTGAATTTATGAATTACTTTTATAGCATGTCAATAAAGATTTGCTTAGTATTTTCATTTAAAAAAAGCAGCTAAACTTGATAAATAATTAATGAAGAAAACTGGATAATAGGGTATTCATAACACAAAGTAATCAATTATTGTAATTATTCAGTGACTGAAATACTTAACCTTTGAAAGTACTGAACAAATTTTGAGTTCAAACAAGTCATTTAGCGCTTGATAAGTTAGAACATAATTTGCGCATGAAACACTGAAATTAAGAAAATTGCTGTTACAACACTGCAGATGTAGCAATGGCGCCTGTAACTGACACGTCAAATAGTTCTTCTGCTGTGAAAAAAAAGAGAAAAGCTTTGTCAGATAAAGAAGTGCACTAAAATGGCAACATTTCTATGGAAGGGATAGTATCATTTGCATAAATCATTGCAAATGATACTATCCCTTCGCTTTTTGGGGGTTGAGTGGTGCACAATTAGTGATGAAAGTCATCCAGCAGTTCAAGAAAAGCAAAAGAAGAAATAAAAATGCCAGCTTTTAAAAAAAAGAAAGAATTCTTTTGTTTCCCATAAATAAATTACTCCGTTCCCGTTTTTGTCGTCCTTTGTAATTTTAATTTTGATAGATATTTTATCCCTTTTTATTGAAATATTCACCCAAATGAAATTTGTCCTAATTTTACTGAAAACAACTTTTGCGTTCAAAAATTCCTTCTAATTTTCATCTATCTTTAAATTAAATGGTATTGATTTTTAATACGGATTAATTGATATTTTAAATTTTGTTTTAAATCAGTACTTTTAGTATCTTTTAATTTTAAAATCTCTATCTGACTCAATCTTTGGGTCACTTTTAATTAATTCGTTTTTGATATGTTGAAAAATTATTGGCGCTTTAATTAATGATAAATTTTTACAAAGTTAGATTCAAATCAACTTTTGTAAAATTCGTTTCAGAAATATTTTTAAATAAAAATAACAACGAAAATTATCGCTGCAGTAAATAATGAATAAGCGAATGAGTGCAACATCGACGGTAAAATGCAATCATATGGATGAAGACAAACGAAACCTAAAGCATAAAGAACAGCTCCGAGGGATTAATTAATTAAAAAATTTTAAAAAAAAAACACAAATCGATGACGAGTACACTCAGCTCACATAACTGCAGAGATGTAATTTTTTTGTATGTCCTGCGAAAGAATAACAAAAATGAGTAGAAGAACCATCAATTCAGATTTCTCAAAACACAAAGCCGTCTTTGTCTGGCATTCATTAATTTTGGAAAACTATTCATTTTGGATCAATTATAGAGAAAAAAAATCGCAACTTTACTCATCAATTAGAAAGCCTAGAAAATTGCCAATTTTAATTAATTGAATCTGTCGGCTGATTTCTTTTATCTTTGTTATAATGGGAAATAATTCCTCGCACAATAATCGAAAATGCTGAAGCAGTGATTTAGGAAATTATGTTGAAAGATGATTCTTCAGCATGAGGAATTGGATTTTCCTCAAAGCTTTGATGGGTTAGGCATTTTCGAAAAAAATAATATTGCATCAAATTCAGTACACGTAAACCTTACTCTTCGATATATTCGTTTAATTCGGAAGATTCGTAAAATTTGGTGCAATGTAAATTTTTTTAACATTTTATCTCTTAATGATTAGTTAAATAAATCGCTATCTTAAATGTTTAAAACTGGCGATCCAATCATCAATGTATAAAAAGCTTAGATAGGTCCAAACACTTTTTCTTCTTCCAAAAAATTATATGTACACGGTTTAATCCTTTCCATAATTTAAATTTTGAAACTTTAATAGGAAACTTAAATTTCTTATTTGCTAATCCGCCTATTACTTGTTTACTTGCTGCTTTATTTGTTCATTGTCGAACGATCGTGAACATCAGAAACAATGGTATGTGCCATTCATATAACTCTTAAGAAAATAAAAAAGGGCGTTGAAAGGGTAGCAAACTGACTTTGACACAGAAATTACAACCGGAAAATAAGTGAATTGCAAAAAGAAGGAAGAAAACCCACCCAAAACCTCTTAACCTGCGGACATCAGCAGATCGTCGATAGATATGCCTTCAAATCAATTGCGCATCACCACATTATTTATTTTAAGTGAGTTTTTCTCTTTTTATAACGAAAATTTTTTAAAATCCGTTTATACTTGAAATAATTTGGTAAGTGTCACAGCATTTATCTCTTTCAAAAAAAAATCCCAGGATACTTTCATGATCTTTTAAATGAACCAGCAACTTTTTAAATATATTTCAAGTATAAATGGATTTAGTAAAAAGTAATTACTCCAAAATAACGAAATAAATTAGGAGCTTTTAAATGCATACATTTTAGACAGTAATAATTTTCCTAGAATTTTTAGTTTGCTGTTCACATGATGATCCAATTTATTTGTTCCATCCTATACCTATATTTAATTCTAAAAAATTAGAAAATTTCTCTACTTGATAAAAATTCCAGATTTGATTTCTCTTTCATGATAGGGTTATTTTGTTTCATGTTTTACTTATTATTTCAATAAGATTTCTCAAGTTTTACCATGTAAATGTTAGTATTTTAACAATTTTTGCGATATGTCAACCTCTAATATATTTGTCAACATTTATCTAACAACTTTTGAATTTATCTTCTCTACTTGAATTCTTGCATGCTTTTTTTTTTATTGCAAAATACCTCTTGCTTCACGGCAATACTGTTTCTGAATCTTTGTCGATATTTAATCATAAATTCCCATATGTGCCAAAATTTGCTTAGAAAATTTTCAAGCAATATTATTTTCAAAGCAATACTACTTGTCTGGAAAGTTCTGTCCGAAAATTAAATATTTTAAATTCTGGAAAATGATACAACTGCACGTTTTATAACCTCTGTTGCATTGAGAGATACCTGTGGCTGAATTCAAAGGTGTTTTTAAATTATGAATTTCTGTTTTATTCATAATTCAAACTATTTATCACTTTCTTCTTTTTTTTTGAATATTTTTTTAACTTTTCACGTTTTACAAAGGGCAAAATGTTAAAAATTTACAGGACAGAATGTGGTTTGATCTATGTAATCAATAATAATAGCAAATATTAATTCCTTTCATTTCTGAACGACTGATTTACAACAACAAACTATCGTCCCAAATAATGAAAACAATGACATCTGATTAAAACATGCATCAAATTCAGCATTGTTTCATCACATCACTGCAATTGTTCCTACACACACACACACACACACACACACACGCACACACACATACATACATACATACATACACACACGCACATACACACACGCATACACACACATACACACACATATGCATAATATATGCATACATATTTACACATGCATGCGACGCATGTAATCCGATGTGAATAAGAAATTATAGATCAAACCAATCCTGGTTTAACCTGCTATCGACAAACAGAAAACTTGTCTTACTGATTTTCCAATTTTAAATTATATTGCAAATCTATTAAAATTTGCAATTTCAACTAACTTGAAACTTGTTTTATGCAGTCATCAATAAAAGGATCATGTTGTGCTTGTCTGTCACAAATTTTCTATTATATTCCAGGTAATATATGCTTGATCGATGCAGTATTCCATGGTACAGTGTTCCGTTCAAAACGACAAACACACATTTATGATGAATCACTGAAGCAATATGCAAGACCGCATTCAAAAACGAGGATTATGACCGGTACGGTTGGACGATACGCACCGCATGAATGGCCAGACTGGTAAATATCATCAATTTAGAATAAATGACTTAGATTTAAAACATTCACGTTTATTTTAAATGTTGTTTTTTGAATTCAGTCTATAAAAAAATGAAGTTATTTTACTTCTCTAAAGCCAATTTTAGTTAGCATTTTGAAACAAAAATTTAGATGGGATGGCAAAAAAAAAAACAAATAGTTGGAATGTTATGTTGTGGAATCAATTAGAATACAAGCGAAATAAGATGTAGAAATCCTCTATCCGATAATTTAACTCAAATAGAAAATGTTATTTTCAAGATTAAGTAACAGTGAGATCCAAGTTGAAAGTCCATCACTTGCTTAACATAGTATTTTTTTATAGTAAAACTTTTGGAAGGTAAAAGTGGGAAATCTAAACCAATTTCAGGTACACACGCACTTTATTTAAATGGAATGGGGAATTTCGTATGGGACCGTATCATCCAAATGATGTACGCTATGAAAGATATCAGCGTTCTAGAATTCAAAGCACGGCTTTCAATAAGCTACATCGGCTGTAACTCTTTCAACACTGCAATTACTTTCTGGAAGTGATGCGGGATTTTTTTTAACTCATCGCTCCTATTTTTAATGCCTTCTTCCTTTCATAGTAATGTGAACGAAATTTTAACTGTTGAAGAAAAGTTATCTGATGTATTTAATTTAATGACGAAGAAATATCATTTCATCTTTGCTGTTAATTTGGACAGTGAAAATATTGTTTGTATATTTGTGATTTTAATTCAGTCTAAATTAGGAGATTTTATTTCATGGATTGGTTGAAAATTTGATCTATTAGATTTTGGCAAAAAAAATTGGCAAATTTTAATCAACATTTAAATAAATTAATAAACGAGTCAAGGAATAAATTTGTGCTAACTGAACACAAACAAATATATATACACGATAAAAAATCATCTTGTTGATTAGTTTTTTTACTTCCCAAAGAAATGATATCTCTCATAGAAATTCATCTGGAAATAGTGGCAAATGAAAGAGAAATGTTTTGAAATTATTTGAGATGCGCAAACAGACCATAAACCGTGCATATTTATGCTTCGTTAAAGTTGCACTGAAAATTTTTACTTTTCTGGCCGATAACAGATCATATCAAATTTAATTCTATTGTGATGCTCAATTAAGTACAGTGCTGAAATGAAAAATTTTCCTAAATCGAAAGTAAGATCAATGAAATATACCATTACTTATTAATTGTTGCTAATGAAATAATTCAGAAATTTTTAAAAAATCGCTTCTTTACTTGTAAAGTTTCAATTCAAGAAATATTTTCGATTCATTGAAGAGCAATTGTTGAAAACCTCAAAATAAGATTGACATATCAATTTGAGAAAATATCTTTCAAGAGGTGAAAAAGATATCGTATGGAAGTACAACTATTTTGTATATTAATCTTTTGAATTCTTTTATCTTCTAATTGATTACTGAATAATGAATTTTGGAGTTTTTTGACTGACATCATCAAGCTTCATTTATTTGCGAATGAAATGGATTTAGAAATTGAAGAGGAATTGTTGGAAACCTCAAAATAAGACTGACATCAATTGTGACAAAAGTAATCCACATATTTTAATTTTGCAATGCAATATGAAAAAAAGAAAGTTCTTTTCTCATCAACATTATTGATTGAAGGCAAAAGAGCATAGAGCGAATGGTGGAGACAAGAAACACTGAAATATTAAGCTTCTAAAACTTTTTAAAAGAAATTCAATTTTCAATGCTGTATTTTCCCTAGCATTTACCAAACGATCTTCCACTGCCAGATAATTTATTTTATTTACTGAAAAAATTTCGAAACAAAATTCGCATTTCTTCTTATCCAAAAAAATATAATTATAAAACAAATTTTTTGGACAATCTAATTGGCTTATTCTTTTGAAATAGTATTATTTGATAAATCAACTTACAAATGACCCCTCTTCTTTATGTCTCTTGTTCTAAAATTCCCATCTTTGTAAATAGACCACAGACTTTAAATTAGTAAAGATCGGATTTTCAGTTTATTGAATTCTTCTAGAATTTTCCATTCCCTTTGTCTTTTTGCGAAATCCTTTTGAAATAATTTGAATAATGAAATTTTGAAAACGTGTATGCGCTCTATTCTACTCTCACATTTACTTATAGCAAATAGCCCATATTTCCACATTTTATAACGTTGTACTTATGCTTTATCAATTTGAGCTTTCCTGGATAAGTAACTGAATATTAGAAACACCCAAGAAAGTTAAAAAAAAGTTACACTTTATCATTTTCCAAATTAATAATGTTTCCACTTCTCTTATTGGATGAATCTCTTCCAAATATATTACATTTTCATAACTTTTCAATAGTTTATTATAATTCAAAATAAAATTAAAAAAACATCCTCAAATTTATTCAAGAACATATAAACCATAATGATGAATTTCTGATAAAGTCGTTAGCTTCTTCAGTTTTTTCATTTAATTAATTTCCAATCATTCTTAATACTGTTTAACTTTCGATTTCGCTGATACATTAAATGTCAGGCAACATGTCAAAAGCACGTTATGAGGACAAGAAATGCTTGGAAAATTTTTCTATTTAATGTATTGAAACGTGAAATGTCGTTCATTTACTCCAAATTTCTTTAAAACACAATGTACTTTTTAGTACTATGCTAAAAATAATGGCAATAATTAATGATTACTCTAATAAAAATAATGAACACCATTTAGATAAACAGTATCGATAACGATTATTTTATCTGTAAAATTGATAATCATGAAAACATTATAAACAATAGTTGTATTGTTCTTCCATCTAATGTATTTTATTTGCACATTTTAGATTACATAAAATTGGAGAGTACTTGAGGATTTTCTTAACTAGACAAAAAAGATTAAATGAGAAGGAAGGATAATAAGAAATACGGATGACGGGAATTATTGTTGTTATCTGTCATTTGTTTAATATATAGAATTATTTTTTTACAATCACAATTTCATCATGAGATTTTGAAATTTTATTGCTTGTAAGTAAACTGCACAGACAAATAATGATTTGCTAGCATAAGAAAAGTCAGTTTACAATTTTATAGATTTTGTTGCTTGAAATTAATTCTTCCTATTATTTACTTTTTTTTTTGCGAAAAGATAAAATTCTATACCAGCTAAAATATACAGCCCATTATGTTAATTTGAAAATTTTCTGATGATGAATGGCTTTCCTCACATCAGATTGTTTGTAGAAACTTATTATTTCTAAATGGATAAAAATGAGGTTTAGTTATTCTTCCTCGATGACCCTGACCTGAAATTCATTTAGATCGAAACTAGAATATAATCAGTTTGCATGCATTATTTTACTGAAAGAAATAAAGTAAATTGAAATATAGTCTGAGTTTTTTTACATGGCTCTCATGTTTCTATTACATCTTGTTTTCTTGTTATCAATTTTTTGTGTTAAATCAATTTTAGTCGATATTACTTTTACTTTTTTCTAAGTGTATGATATGTCTGTTGATTATGGCGATTTTTAGAGTTAATATAGGATGTTATGTCTTGTTCGCGATAGGTTGTTAATTTTGTTTTGTAAAGAGTAAAATGTTTGTTTTTTTATGCTAACTTTTTATATGTTTATTTTATTTTTTTTGCTTTTATTTGATTCTTGATTTTTAATGTTTTTTGTAAGTTGTTCATGCAAAGTATGCGCTGCCATACGGTAGTGTTACTAAAATAAATTCAATTCCTAAAGTATTATATAATACTTTAATATAATTAAAATAGTTGTGAGTTTAAAGCAAGAATTAATTTGATCAAGGAATGACAAATTATTTAATTCAAGATAAATACTTGTTAGTAATTGAGGTCAAAACAATCAAGCATTGTGAGTAATTTTGATTCATTTCTAGATATGTGGCTAATTTTTATGATTTTTTTCCAGTTTTTAATTATTTTATCATTTTCTCCATTTCTATTGGAAAATGGAGCATCGTCCTTTATGCGTGATATCTCGGAACTAAACTCACAAGACAAGTGTAAAGCTAGTTAAAGCATTAATAATTCAAAATGTTGTGTGATTCGAATTTGATAATATGTAAAGTTTATTTGGTTCCAATTAAGGAAGTGATTTAAATACTTAACCATTCAATTAGAGGATAAACAAAAGTGAGCAAAGATCAGTGAAAAAAATGAAAGGTAAAATGTTCATTAATATAATAATAGCAATGATTAGCTGGAAGCCAGTATATTCCCTGAAATGTCAACAAGAAGACAACTCAAATGAATTGGTTCTCAACCATTTTGCAGTGACCAACCCGATCCACCGTTAATACTGTACTTACTATTTGATAATAGTGGTTCAATGACACTAAGATCATATTTGGAATATCAGTGTCTTTTGATGCGAAGGAAGGTAGATCATTATCAGAGGACATTTTTAAAGGAACAAGAATATGCTTAGATTTATTTTAGCCAAAGTACGTTGTAATATCATGTAACATCGTATATTGTTGCGTGTCACATTTTCAGTGCATTGGAAAGTCAATTTTTGAATCAAAAATTTATCAGAGCAGTTATTATTGAATAAAATTAGAAGTCAAATTAAACTTTTCTGTTTCTACTTAATTAAAATTTTTGCTTAATTCATACATCAACTTCTACTTGAAAAATTGAATTGTAAGTTATACGTCCTTTCCTAGTTATCCAATTGATTGAAAGCAAATTTTATTTTGCAGTAATCATTACTTGCTTGTAACTTTGTCATTAATTTATGCAGAGTGATCTTATCAAGGAGAAAATAGCGTCAATTAAGTATTCTCGTACTCAAACCGAAAAAAAAACTTATCTTTATAGTTTTTTTAAATTAAATTTTACAACAATACTTCGTGGAAGGGTGATGACTCCCAGATATCTTTTACTGCCGAGCTGATTTTGGGGTAATTAACCCAGAGCAAATCTTATTAGATGAAGTACTATTGATGTGAGGGGATTTATGAAGGAGTTGTAAAAATACACGACGATTAACCTTTATTGAAAACAGCAATTTAAGAACAGCAGCGGTATGTGGAAGCAATGAAGTTCAAAAACGACAGTCCTGACCCCTCTGGGGTTAGGCTTATATATCTTAGAGGATGGGCGTGGTTTACAGTGAACTTTCAAGTACCGTAAATAAAGCGGAACTTAAGGAATATAGATATGTTGGAAATGATTTATGGTTTCATCCGCATTAAGATACAATGACAAAGAAATTTATCTCACTATTTGTTTGAGGTTTCGTTTTCACGACAAATACTTTGTTCGAACCTTTTCATTATCTTCATTGTATCGTGCATTCTGCGCTTCACTCTAACAGTTCAAATACTTCCACCAAATGTTTTGTCATCATTTACCAAACAGTTGAAGTGGGTGTTTTTGTAAGCTTCCAACTGATGATCCTAGTAAAAAATATTTGAACTGTGACCTTTGATAAAGTATAATAACAATTTTGCTTTATGCATAGCAGTTTCTGCTTGCGAGCATTTTTTCGCAATCATTTTTCATTAAATTCACTGTTTAAACTTTTGCATGCTGATACTAAATTTCTCGAGTTTTAACTAGCGCACTTTCGGCTTATATGAAGCAGTCTCTCTCTAAATTACCCAAATTCGAAATATTTATCTAAAGTAAAAGATGTAAAAACCGCTAATTTTCATTCATTTTATAATAGCTGGAAGTTATTGCATCTTAGAACAGACACAAATGATAGTATCATTTTAATTTCAAATTATTGTTTCTTAATTAAAATCTACAAAAAGAAAAGCAGTAATAAATGCGTCAATTTTACATATCTCAAATACAAACGAGCATGAAGTTCGACATGTTCATTTGTTCTTAATTAATTATTTCAGAATCAAAGGATTTAAAATTCTTCTTTTACTAAAAAATAGAAGTTGCACGCAAGCCAAGAAAAAGGCACTTAATACCTGACTTGGACAAAAATCCATGCGATAATGAAAATGAAGCACGGAGGAATGAATATAACATAGAAATATCAGTTTTTTTTTCCTTTTTGTAAAGACGCATATGAAGTAATAAGAGGTAAAAATACTTAAATTTTCAAACGAAAATTTAAAATTGAAAAATTGACTATTTTAAATCCAATTAACGATTAGTTTTGCAAACTGATTTACTTCAATTTTTTGAAACAAACATATACCATTTGAATCTGTAAAAGGTACAGAATTTTTATCTATCATTATCATATAAAAAAAAAACAAAATTCGTTATATCAATAATTCCCAATAAAAAATCAGTACTACAAATGATGCTAAGACAAAGATGAACGAAGACAACAGTGGTTGTTTCGTAAATCCAGCAGACTCAGCTGAAGGATAATCGTTACATAATTGCCCAAAACACCAACATAATTCAATAGTACGATTTGAAGCACGCATTGCTAAATGTGGTGGTAGTAGTTTGTACGCAGGCATTCTGCTACACGATATATCTGAAACAAGCAAAGACTAAAATTAAGTAAAGGTGAAGAAAAAGAACGAGAACTTCTTCTATTCTAAATTTATAAAGTACATCAGTTTATTTTTTCCTACGAAATTTTCCCTCATCAAAAATAAATTTATTCTAATAGCAAGCAATAAAAAGATTGGATGCTGATGACTATGAGGACTTTCTTCTTCCAAGTATATTACATTAATGAACTTAAAACGCTTCACAATGGAAGTGATCAAGTAGACATAATTTAAAAATTCCTTAAAATTGAGATTCTGAACCTTTTAAGCAGACATTATTATTGATCCATTTCACTACGACTTTAAAATCTTATAAAAGCTCTTTTGCATAAATCAGCAAAATAATTTATTTTTAAAAAATCAATTAAATATATTTTCTTCTATGATTTGAATAAATGTGCAGGATTTTAATTTACATGAGCAAAAAAAAACCGAATTACCTGAAGCAGAAAGGCTGTCAGCGGATGGTGTGGGACCATATTTAAATACAGAAGAAAAGCAGCCGCGAATAACATTATTTCCAATGTGATGTCCTGAAATTTCTTAAATATGATAAAACATAATTGCCATTGATAATTGTACTCTTTTTGAATAAATTTCGAAAAAATATTTTATAATTGGGCAAGAAATAAAAGTCAAACCAGCTAAAATTCGAGGTTCAATGACGGTAACACATAAGGAATGACTGCATGTTGTGACACCGATATGTACTTTAGGCGGCATATCATAGCAATAATCGGTAAAATTCATCGGCATAAAGTAAATCTTAACAGTAAAATTCATTCAACTTGCTGAATTTTTACAAAAAAAGCAACAAAGTTTTTCCAGTTTGACTTCAATTACAGTTGCAATCTTATCAATGAAGTTGATAATTAATATAATTTCATCTTAAATCCTGCAACCATATGGCGGTATTTTGTTCGGCGTGCTGGAAATTTTCAAATATTTGTGACTCAAACCTTCAATTATTGATTCCTATCTTGACACACATCATGTGGGAAATTTTGCTATTGCGATAATTAAATGGTTTGGGCATATCTTCAGGCTTTTTATGCAAAGAGTATAACAAAGTATTATAAAATTAATGAAATTTTTATGTGATTTGAAATAAATGAAGAAACAATACTTCAAAAATTTTAAAATAAGCTGAAAAATTCAATGTGGTGTAATATAGCAACACTGACTATATCTTGCAACCAATGAAAAGATGCCGTTTCATAAATCTTTAAGTGACAAATACAATTATTTTGCAAATTAAAGTAATATATTTTCAAAAATTTCTCGTTTTTGTCTTCGCTTTTTCATTTAAGACTTTCAAAATAACCATAATACGAAGATTTCAAATATATAAAATCATTCAACATTTCCATACTGTCAGTCAATCAATTAGCAAATTGATAATGTGATCAACAGTGATAACATCTTTCAATGTTGTGTGTCATACTTGTCGAACCAGACAGTAGGAAATAATCTAACCAATTGGAGTATTGTTGTCTCAGTTATGAAGAAAAATACGATAGATGAAAAAAATAAATTCAAAATATTGAAGTATTTTAAAAAGAAATGTTTAAATTTGCATTACATAAAATAGTAGAAATTTAATTAAGTTATATAATTTTTATATCTATGATTGAATTGAAAATAGAAACTTTGAAAATGAGTTATAAAAATTTTAATTCTTTTGTTCTCATGTCATGTTTTTTGGGTTTTTTGTCATATTTTTGGTTGCTTATCCCTCGTCGTGCCTTCTAGAACTATCTTCACAAATGTTTTAATAAACAATGATCAATTGAAAAAGATGAACAGCAATTTCCCATCCTTTCTTCCACTATATTGTAACTTCATCTCGAACTTTCATCATATTTTCTCTTTAATCTATTCATAAAAATTCATGATCTTTCACATTAAATTATGAAAATTGCAATGTGGTGATCAATTTTTTTCTCTCATGCCTTCTCATTCGTTCGTTTTCTTCTATTCCGCAATCAGTAAGAGATCAGAACGCAATAACATTTCCTTACAGCCTATACATACTTCTGGAATCGTAATGCGATATTATTGATTTTGCGAATTTCTTTTTTCTTTTTTTTACTCTGCCTTTATCTATTCGTTCAACTTTGTGTAAAACTTTAAAAAAAAACTTAACGATATTTTAAAACAATTGTTTATTTGTTTACGAAAATACCTGATGTTGAATTCTATAACAAAAGTGAAGAAAGAAATAGGATGAAGAGAAAAATTTTTGGAAAGTATTTATTTGATGGTAAATGCTTTATAGTTTTGATATAAATGTCGTCTTTCACAAGTGCACAGTTGGAACAAATGACCAATGATAATGATAGGCATCTTTAGTTGAGCCAGTTGAGCCAAATGTTGCGAAAAAGATAGAGAAATGGATTCATGTCGTCATAAATGATGCATGATTACGTAGTGATAATCAGATGGTAGCGATGAAATTAATTACAGTGACAAAAAATTACCTCTCGTCCATCATTAGCAATGTTAATTTTAATTTACTAGAAAAGACATATTATACGCATTTTGGTGTGTATTAAACTTCACTCCTTTGTTTTATTTTTATTTTTTTTCTAATAGAAATAACTTTTTCTGTTTTCTAACGAAAAAAATGAATTGTCATCATTAATAAAAGTGAAATTAATTCAAATCAAATTCATAATAGTTAAAATAATTTAAACAGTAGTATAATGACTGCGACCGAAGTACAGGAAATGTAATAATAATGGCAGTGATAAAGGTGACTTTCGTGCAAACAATATGAATAAATATGATAATAAGAATACAAAATTCATTTCCCATGTAAATTCAGAAAAATTCGTGTGTCTGTAAGGTTAGACAAATATTTGACAGAACACGGAACGATAAAAAATATTATATAATAGCTAATTTTGTCTGTATTTTCTTAAGTGTAAATTCTCTGCATACAATTGCTTACTATCATCAGTGCGTAAAATTATATTTTATTTTGGATATAGTTAATAAAGCAGTCAAATATGGCATACTTTTTTAGAATATTTCTTCTTCTAAACCACATTTTAGTTACAGCTTCTTCCATTTCTTTCCATTCTTTTTTGATAACTTTCGATAATTTTGAGGAATCGATAATTTTCGATAATGCGATAATTTACTCAGATTCGATAATATTGAAGAATCAATAAAACTTCCTCAGAATATGTGCATTTTTGCATTTTATCAGAATATGTGCATTTTTAAAGTCTCTAAATAACTGAAGAAAAATTCCGCTAAATTATTTGCAGAAATTACAAAAAATCAATAGACTTTCTTCTTCCTCTAATCGAACAATGTTATCCATCAGGGACTATTTACTTTCCCCAGCATTTTTATGATAAAAATTTCTTTTGTCGCACGTAATAGTCTTGTTTGTACCATCAAATTAAGCGAAAAAAAAGAAAAAAAGCGATGCTATTTCCATCAATTTTTGAAAATTTGCGAAGACGAAATTTGAAATTTCTAGAAAAAAGAAAATCAAATTTTTCCAAATCAACAACTTCCTTAATTTTTTGAAATTTAAGCATACTTAGCAATGATTTTTATATGAACAGGATAGGACAATGGGATTTAGCAATGTTAGTATTAGTTTTAAATTGATTTAGGATGTTAGCCCTCTCGAAACGCTAACATTGTATATTTTGAATGGATGTCCGAAAGTACCTCATTGCTAGGCGGTACAAACTAGATCTCTCTATCTATCCTCTTCATCCTCTTTTCAGGTCCATATTTGCTCACTTTATGAATTGATTAAAATACATATCTTCTTCCTTTGCTCACTAAAAACTTCTCTGAAAAATATTTAGCACGTAGAATGAATCTGACAAACCGCATAATTTAACATCAAATCATCGTCATCATTTCCCTTCATCTCTACAAATATATAAACATGCCATTTTGAATCCAATCTTCTTGTACGTAATTTTTTTTCAATCAAAAAAATACAGTTCAACATTACATTTGCATTTGTCGTTAATTGTAGAATATTTTGAAGATTCTTTTTTATTTCTAACTTTAAATTAATTCAAAACTCGCCTCAATCTGAGGAGAGCATTTCATTGCAATGTTATGCAAAGTCTAGTTTACACATTATGAAAGTGAAATCAATGGTGTGAAAAATTTAAGACGTAAAAAATCAACGCTCATGCGATTTTTTATTTAATTTATAAAAAGTTATAAGCTTCTTAATGACGTTTGTTCCAGATTTAAACTCTTACGTCAATTTAACTCATTCCAAAAAGTCTTTCGAAATTACCCTTATGATATTAGATAGCTCTGCTCTTCAAATTGTATTAAAATTCAAAAATGCATACACACAAACGAGCTAATTGACAATGTTATCAATGATATAATTTGAAGTTGGAAAATCGCAACGTTGCTCAGAATCTGCTGTCTTAATAGTAATAAATATAAGTATCTGCGGTCTTAATAGTAGTAATAAACCTCTTTGTTTTGAAAGAAGACTTAAGAAAAATGAAAATTATAATGGCTAAGACATAAAACAAATCATTGAAAAATGAGATTTTTTAAGCCCAAAATTACGTAATTTTTCTAAAGAAAAAAGAGAATGAAATTTCATAAACAAAAACAAAACTACCTGACTAAGAAATGACCAGTGTTTTTGGAATGCTTCTGACATACAACTGTAGCAATATTTTCCGGATGAACTGAAAATATTTGACATACAAATTTTTAAATTTAAAAATATATAATAACAAAGTCAATTTATGATGATATGATAGATTTTCTGCTCAATGTAAGCCATTTTTTCTCTAATCCATGGATTTTCATGCCATGCAATTAAGCGTTCAATCTTTAATCAGATACATAATAAACTCAGTAGAATTAAAATACCTGAAATCAAAATAACCAAGCGATGTGGCAACAATTGTTATAGACGTTGTTGCTTGTACAATGAACCAAATTATTGGTCCTACAATTCAGTGTTTCTGAATGTTTCCATTCGTAATGGAAATATTCAAATTTTAGAAATTATTAAATTTATTTACTATATACAGAAGTAAGATAATATATGCTCCGTTCTAACTAATACAATAATTCAAAGTTGTACGCTACAATTTAAGTTTCAGACTATATGTGCAAGTAAATTAAAAAACGCAAAATTGAAATCTAAAATAGATATAACTCATAATTTTAAACAATTCTTAAATATAAATAATATTGGAAACGACTAATGGGAAGACAGTTGTTATTAATCGAAGTACGTAAATTGCAATATAATTTAGTGATCATCGATCGATAAATTCTTCCCAATTATTAAAACTATTAATGTGGTAAATTTCTGTAAACTCGGTATTTGATAGTTAAGCATCTTTGTTAAAGTTTGGCGTCTTCTAATGATATTCATTAGTGAAGATCATCATTATTCTCCTGAATTTCCTATCATTTAAAGTGGTAAGCATAAATTTTGAAGGATTCATAATAAGCATAGCTATTTAATCTATATGTAGATATAACAGGGAAATTCAAGTTCATTTTCCAAATTAAATTTTTATTATTAATATTGAGGAAAGAATGCTACGACTCGTTTAAAATTCTTTTAGGATCAGTCAATTATTTTTCTACAACTTAGAGCGCAATAATTACCGTAGCTAAAATTTTGATTTAATTTTTGAAGAACAATTTCTGCAATCCATATTATATTTTTCATATTGTGTTCGTATAGGCGAAATTTTTGAATTTCAAGGATAACGAATTAATCTTAAATT